CCAGGTTCTGGGTCCAACCGAAATCGGCCTAGTCCGAAATGAAAGGCGGTAAGTGATGATGATGAGAGTGTGGGGTTCCAGAAGCTTGGCCGCTATGACTGGCTGCGAAATCGGCACTTTTTCTCTTAGTGCCCCTCCAATTGACTGAGTCACAATAGAATATTGTTCTTTATTTCCCCAATCTACACTGCAGTTTGACATTCAGAGGGTATTGTCACTGCAATCATGGGTGTTGAAACAGCCTCCCTACAGGATCGCCTTGAGCAATGGGCTCAAAGGTTACAAAACCTGACTGTTAGTCCTCTTACTCGGGACTATCCTGATAACCAGAACCAAGAGCTTCCCAAGAGAGCCATTGAGGCATTCGAAACCTTCAAGCTCCCGGAAGACACGGAGGGAAAATTACAGAAGCTTTCGGGCTCATCCTCTGGTTTTACCATTTTTTTGACAGCCTTTGTCGTACTTGTTGCTCGTCTCACCGGCGATGAGGACATTGCCATTGGTACCACTTCGGCCGAAGACGGCCGTCCATTCGTCCTGAGGGTCCCAATTGACGCCTCGGAGACTTTCCTTCAATTGTACGCCAAGGTTCAGAAGGTATGGTGACAGCTGCTATAATAGTAATAGTTGAGATTTCCTAACTATTATTCTAGGCATTCGACCAAGGGTCCTCCGACATTGTTCCTTTGGGCAGTTTACGATCCTACATCCAGCAGAAGTCCCAATCCGAACGACCCCCGATTCTTTTCCGCTTTGCAGCCTACGATGCACCCGCCGCGTCTCAGGAATACCCTGCCAACACATTTGAGACCACCGACCTAGTCGTCAATGTTGCGCCTGCAGCAGGAGGGTCTACCTCTCAAGCGGAACTGGGCGCATACTATAACCAAAGACTCTTCTCAAGCGCTAGGATTTCGACGATATTGAAGCAGCTGGGCCAGATCGTTGAAAATGCGACCAGCAACCCAGAAGAGGCAATTGGCCGCCTTGACTTCATGACCGATGATCAACGGGCACTTCTGCCAGACCCCACAGCTGACCTAAATTGGTCCAAGTTCCGGGGCGCAATTCATGATATTTTTGCTGAGAACGCTGAGAAACACCCAGAAAAGCTGTGTGTGGTCGAAACCAAGTCCGATCGTTCTCCTCACCGCGAATTCACATACAGGCAAATCAACGAGGCCTCCAACATCCTGGCACACCACTTAGTCCAATCAGGTATTCAGAGAGGGGAAGTCGTCATGGTGTACGCTTACCGTGGCGTCGATCTTGTGGTGGCGGTTATGGGTATCCTTAAAGCTGGTGCAACTTTCTCCGTCATCGACCCCGCGTATCCGCCAGAGAGACAGTGCATCTACCTTGACGTCGCTCGCCCCCGGGCGCTCATAAATATTGAGAAGGCCACTAAGGATGCTGGTGAGCTCTCCGAAAAAGTCCGCTTTTTCATCAATGAAAACCTCGAGCTTCGCACAGAAGTCCCCGCGCTCGCCCTTCGCGACGACGGTTCGCTCCTTGGAGGATCAATCAATGGCCAAGATGTTTTAGCCAATCAGGTACCTTTGGGATCTAAGCCTGTAGGTGTGGTGGTTGGCCCAGACTCGGTCCCTACTTTGTCCTTCACCTCTGGATCAGAGGGAAGGCCCAAGGGTGTGAGAGGACGTCATTTCTCCTTGGCATACTATTTCGACTGGATGTCCGAAACGTTCAAGCTGACCCCCAATGACCGTTTCACGATGCTCAGCGGTATTGCCCATGACCCCATTCAAAGAGACATCTTTACTCCTCTCTTCCTGGGAGCACAGTTGTTAGTCCCGGCACGTGAAGACATCCAAAATGAGCGGCTTGCGGAGTGGATGCGGGAATACGGTGCCAGTGTTACCCATCTTACACCCGCCATGGGTCAGATTCTGGTCGGTGGTGCTTCCGCACAGTTCCTAGCTCTTCACCACGCTTTCTTCGTCGGTGATATCTTGATCAAGAGAGATTGCCGATCTCTGCAAGGTCTGGCCCCGAATGTCAACATTGTAAACATGTATGGTACAACCGAAACCCAGCGTGCGGTTAGTTATTATGAAATTCCTAGCTACTCTAGCAACGAAGGGTTCCTGGACACTATGAAGGATGTAATTCCAGCCGGTCGGGGAATGGTCGATGTGCAGATGCTGGTTGTCAACCGGTTTGACCCAAGCCGTATTTGTGCCATCGGAGAAGTGGGCGAAATCTATGTCCGCGCTGCTGGTTTGGCGGAAGGCTACTTGGGCTCCCCCGAGTTGAACGAAAAGAAGTTCCTCAAGAACTGGTTCGTTGATCCTCAATCTTGGGTTCAGAAGGATCAAGTCCAATCGCAAGGTATCAATGAGCCCTGGAGGGAATTCTATGTTGGACCAAGAGACCGCCTGTACCGCAGTGGAGACCTCGGTAGATACACTCCCTCCGGTGACGTTGAATGTTCCGGCCGCGCGGATGACCAAGTGAAGATTCGAGGTTTCCGTATCGAGCTTGGTGAGATTGATACGCATCTTTCACGACACCCATTGGTGAGAGAGAATGTCACTTTGGTGAGACGAGACAAGTTCGAGGAGCCAACTCTGGTCAGTTACTTTGTGCCAGATATGAGCAAGTGGGCTTCGTGGTTGCAAGAAAAGGGCCTTGAAGACGATACTTCCGCTGAAGGAATGGTCGGTATGCTTGTTCGATTCAGGCCCCTTCGTGATGATGCTCGAGAGCTTCTGCGTAGCAAGCTCCCGACATACGCTGTGCCAACAGTGTTCATCCCGCTCAAGCGGATGCCCCTTAACCCTAATGGAAAGATCGATAAGCCTGCATTGCCATTCCCAGATACTGCGGAGCTCAGTGCTGCTGCACCTCAGCGCAAGTCATCTGTCCTGGAGGCCCTGTCCGAGACAGAGCAAGCTTTGGCTCAGATCTGGGCACAGCGCATTCCCAATGTCACCTCTTCCATGATTGGCCCTGACGATTCATTCTTTGACCTTGGAGGACACAGTATTCTGGCTCAGCAGATGTTCTTCGATCTTCGGCGCAAGTGGCGTGGCGTTGACATTAGTATGAACGCCATCTTCCGCAGTCCTACCCTTAGAGGGTTCGCTGCCGAGATTGACCGCTTGTTGAATTTTGAATCTTTCGCGGCCAGTGACAATAAGACAGCCGCTGAAGCTCCGGATACCTCTAGTGCACCTGATGACGAGTACTCCAAGGACGCTAGGAAGCTGGTAGACGCTCTGCCCAAGGCATTCCCCGAGAGGACAGAGCCTATTCTCTCTGGAGAGCCAACCATCTTCCTGACGGGAGGCACTGGATTCCTGGGCGCGCATATTCTTCGCGACCTCCTCACCCGTAAGTCTCCCTCGGCGAAGGTTGTGGCTTTGGTTCGAGGAAAGACCGAGGAGCAAGCACTAGAGCGTATCCGGTCCACCTGCCGAGCATACGGCTTCTGGGATGAAGCATGGACCAGCCGGCTTCAGTGTGTCTGCGGTAACCTAGGAGACGCTCAATTCGGCCTCTCTCAAGAGCTGTGGGATGACCTGACGAACCGTGTCGATGCGGTGATCCATAACGGAGCCCTTGTCCACTGGGTGTATCCTTATTCTACTCTCAAGCCTGCCAACGTTATGGGTACTATTGACGCCCTGAAGCTTTGCGCCACTGGAAAGCCTAAGCAGTTCTCCTTTGTCAGCTCTACCAGTGTGCTTGACAGTGATCACTATGTCGAAGAGTCTGAACGTAGTATTGCGGCTGGAGGAGCCGGTATCAGCGAAGATGATGATCTGGAGGGCAGCAGCGTAGGCCTTGGAACCGGTTACGGCCAGAGCAAATGGGCGGGAGAGTACCTTGTCCGAGAGGCGGGTAGGAGAGGATTAAAGGGAACTATTATCCGTCCTGGATACGTGCTCGGTGACTCTCAGACCGGAAGTAAGTATCCAAGTCCTTCGCACCATCGTCTTAAGTCTCTATATGCTGACAACCCATGTCACCAGCTACGAACACCGATGACTTCCTTATCCGTATGATCAAGGGATGTATTCAGCTTTCTGCCCGCCCTAATATTAACAACACTGTCAATATGGTCCCCGTCGATCACGTTGCCCGCGTTGTCATCGCCGGTGCCTTCCAGCCTCCATGCACGCCCATTGGTGTTGCACAGGTGACTGGACACCCACGTCTTCGGTTCAACCAATTCCTGGGAGCACTGCAGCTATACGGCTACAACGTGCCCCAGGTTGACTACGTGCCGTGGGCACAGTCGCTTGAGCAATATGTCAACGACGGACAGCACGACGACCCAGAGTCCCAGCATGCACTGTAAGTTCAATGTCAATCGCACAGCAAGGTTTGGAAATCAATTGCTAATGACTGGTTTTTAGTATGCCTCTCTATCACTTTGTGACCGCTGATCTCCCATCCAACACTAAGGCCCCTGAACTAGACGATGTTCACGCCGCTGCTTCCCTTCGCGCAGATGCCGCCTGGTCCGGCGTTGATGCCTCCGCTGGGGCCGGCGTGACCGAAGAGTTGGTCGGTCTGTACGCGGCCTACCTGATCACGATCGGATTCTTGCCTTCGCCGCCTGCGTCCTCGACAGCTCGGCCGTTACCCACAGTCCAGCTCAGCGACGACCAGAAGCAGGCCTTGGCCAATGTTGGTGGCCGTGGAGGCAGCTCATGAATCTATTGAAAACGTAGCGTCTTCTGTTTCAACGATGCATGTTTCGTTTCATTTTATTTCATATTTTTTTCTCGGGTGATAAAAACTACGGATGCGGTATTTGTAGAAATACACAATGTATATATAGAAAAGGAACGAATAGGGGGTGGGGAAAATATGACATCGATTATGTTCAATTCAATCCAGTTGGCTGCTTTGTATTACCCGATATGTTCAGGTCACACCCCACATCATTGATCCACGTGGGAAAATGCCTCAAGGGGACGAGGGAAAGTTCCTGTCGGGTGGATTTTACCCCCAAGAGTTGGTAGGAGATATCTAAATATGGGAGAAGCGAGATAAAATCACTCGTGCAATCACGCAACGTCCATAGATAGACTCGAAAGGGGTGGGATTGGATCTGCCCACAGACTTTGCCGTATTTCCCGATATGTGCCGCTCACCGGGCGTTATAAAGTCGCCTTCTTTTGCGTTCCTTTTCCGCGGCACCGTCTGCCAAGACAGAAACAACATTCTTCTTCCCCAACAAGATCCCTCTCTTCTTCTTAGACGACTCTTTTAACATCATCTGCTTCGACATCCGTTGTAAACCAGTTTCGATATCGCGTTAGAATAACGTCGCCTTAAAGCACCATGCCAGGTATGTTCACGGGTCATGTCTCTTTTCGTTTTCCTTCTTGGCATTTTCGGATATCGTCGCTGGACGACGGGCCCTCTTTTTCTGCCCATTTTCCCTCGCCTTCCTTTCGTGTTCTGTATCCTTTCTTTGGCGGGATATATTCGTTTCTTCATTTTGTCGATAATTCTTAGCTTGAGCACATCGTTGCAAAAGACAGGCTGAGAAACTGGTGGTGACTGGACTTTGCTTGCTGGCCGCTTTTTTCTTTTTCCTTCCCTTTTCTTGTCTTTTTTTCCCCAACCCCTTCCCCGTCCCGTTGATTCCGTTGAGTCATTCGTTGCCGGGCCCATCCTGACACCTTGTTATTCCACCCTGTGACAACCTATCTGTAACATATCCGCCATCATGATGAATCTCGCAAGGCTGGTACCACGGTCTCAATCATTGTTTCGTCCCCTAGCGGCGGTGAGGGAATTTCAGGGCTGCAATGGAAGCGTCCATCTTCCCTTAGTCCGAGTCCGCACCAACCCCGTTATCGGCCAACCTCAACGTCTTTCCCTGTCAACCTCTGCATCGTTATCGTGCGACAAACATAATATGTCGCAAGCGGAGACTAATTATTCTCCAGACCGATTCACCACCGCGCTGCAGGCAAACAAGGAGTGGGCTGCCCGAACTGCCCTGGAACATCCGGAACTGTTTCCCACGCTTGCCAATGGCCAATCCCCCGAAATTCTTTGGATCGGCTGCTCCGATTCTCGATGCCCTGAGACGGTCGTTCTAGGCCTCAAGCCTGGCGACGTCTTTGTCCATCGGAATATCGCCAATATCTTGCACGCCGGCGATCTCAGCTCAGGTGCAGTCATCGAATATGCCGTCCGTCATCTGCGAGTCAACCACATCGTGCTCTCCGGCCACACCAAGTGTGGTGGTATCGCAGCTGCCCTTGGCAACAAGCAACTCGGTATCCTGGATCCCTGGCTGTTGCCTCTGCGCCAAATCCGGGAGCAGAACCTTGCACTGTTACAGACATTGTCACCGGAGGATGCGACCGTTAAGATGGCGGAGCTAAACGTCCGGGAAGGTGTTAAGCTATTGAAGTCGAAGGCTGTAGTGCTTGAAGCGATGCAAGAGCGGGGTCTTCAGGTTCACGGCCTCATTTATGATGTCGCCTGTGGTATGCTCCGGGATATAGACACCAAGGACTCGGAGGAAGAGATCAAGAGGCGACTAGTGGCCTTCAAGACGGAGGCTTAGGAAAGGAACTCGGTGATAGGGGTCCTGCCATTTCTTTCGATGGATTGTTTTCTTTCTTTGCGTTGTTCCTTTCAGCGAGTGTCCAGGTATATTTGAGGTGTTCTTGGATGGGTATTCCCGTGGCTGTGGGAACGATCTTAGTATCGTCTCAGCGGCTATGCTGTAAATATTCCAGCACTGTGAATCTCATAGACGTCAAACTCATAGCAGTCATTTCTCTTCAAAGTCAATAAGAACCAAATAGAATGAGAGAGGGAGAGACGCGTAGTAAACAACTATGCCTGAAGGGGAGGGGGGGGGAGGAAAGGAATGAGGCGTCAAGTTGACAGAAGATCGTGTATGTATGAGTGGGGAGGGAAAAAAGAGTAAAAGAAGGAAGAGGAGGAAGAGAAGAGGGAAAGAGTCAAGTCAGTCGTAGCCTCGTTTCACGTCTGCAATCCCAGCGGTTTGAGCGATTTCATTGCCTAATGGGGAAGCCAAGGGAACCTTGCGGATCCGCTTTGCATCCCAATCTGGTATGGTCCCGGCCGAAGCGGAGATGCGTCGGTTGATGCCTGATTATCTTGTGCATGCATCGTCAAGCATCAGGCAGATAGTAGATTAGATGTCCCCGTGATGGATTCTTTTCCATTTGTCAGTATCAAGCACTTTCTCTGGATTAACCCTTTAAAAAGCGCTGTGCCTGGTTCAATTGTCGGAACTCGGAAAGTTAGGGAGGATCAACCGGTCCTCGGTGAGAGTCTTTCCAGGGTACGGCGTGTTGAATGAATCTCCCATTCGGCTACCAAGTATCGGAAATTAAATGCAACGAGTATTCCCACTGCTATTGGTCGCAAATACTCCGTCGCCTGTGGCTTACTGTACATGGATCTTGTTTACAGTACATGTTCAATGGAATCCATCTCTCCCAACTACTTGCTAACTTAGCAAGATATCGTTGTTCATCAGATCTACGTATAAATCACTGCTTAGATCAGGGTCGTTGGCACTGGCACAGTATCCTTAATATACCCAGCTTGGGTTTCGACGCCTTGGGAACATGCATTTACTCCCGAGATAATGAGGATAGACTAGCTTCAAAGTTCTTACCACCGAACCCAAGAGTTGTCTAAAAGCTGCTGTGAATCATTGGAAGATTTCTCTCTGCGTTCTCTGATATTTTACTACAGGGTTCGGATCGATCAGGGACAGTATTCAGATCATCCTGTTCCGGACTTTCTTAAACGCTGCCATCGCTGTTGGTCTAATCACAAATACTACTTTTCCCAAGGGCCCTTGGCGGCTACGCCCTTGGACTAGTCAGGTGTATTCTTTCTCAGTCAGCTTACTTTAGATACCCTAATTGAATCTAGATTGGTTCGCTTTTTCACCGGACTTTGTGAGAGCGTTTATATTGGATGATTTGCTTAGCTTGTGTTCAGATTATCGAAGCAAGATAGACCAGTGGAAGCCCTCTACATGTTCATGAGACATACTCTAGATAGTATACGAGTAGGGCGGAGCATCTCTCTCTCTCTCTCTCTCTCTCTCTCTCTAGTTAGTAGTTAGTATAGCCGCGGTTTACATCAAAGCTATACTATAGTTCAGCCAGACACCGATAAAGCCCCGGGAGCCCCACGTAACCCCTCATCAAGAACAAACCCAACACAACCACTACCAAGATCAACATGCCTATCATGACCAAGAAAACAATAACAGACGATGCCGACAACGCACCCCGACTCGGGAAAGCCATCCAGGCAAAGACCGAAGGTTACCGCGGGGGAGACTGGTGTAATCGGTTATCCGTCGGCTTTCTAGTCTATCGCTTCATACATTCGGCAGATAGAAGAGTGGAGCTGTGAAGCGAATACGCTGGAAAAAAATCAAGGCGGAATCATTTCTATTAACCTTATCTTGAAGTCAATATTTTTACGATAGCTTCGTCTTTTGTCTTTCTAGTGTCCTTTTTTTTTTTTTTTTTTTGTTTCCCCAGGTTAATCTCCATCGTTTACACATTCGTGAAAGTTGAGTAAGAAAAACCCCCTTTGAATGAAAGTGCCTGGTGGATCGCCACAGTGACGTGTGACGTGATGATCACCGCCCGCTTTGTTCTGCATAGTTTGACATAAGATGCTGATTGTTACTGATCATTGACCATCACAGACAATACCCTGAACGCAGAACAACATCATGGCTAACGAAATGGAATACACCCGGTACGTCCACTGCATCTAGCCAAGTATACATGTATACATATAAGCCTCGTTAACAAAGAATGAGTCACCAGACTCGGAACCTCCGGTCTCAAGATCTCCAAGGTCATCCTAGGCACCATGTCCTACGGCACTAAGGAATGGCAGGACTGGGTGCTAAACGAGGACGAGGCCCTTCCCTTGATCGAGCACGCATACAAGCGTGGAATCAACACCTGGGACACAGTGCGTAACTCTACCCCGATCACTTCACGCAATATGCGCAACCAAACCCATAAAAAAGAAAAGAGAGGGGGAAAAAAAAAATCACGCTAACCCGTACATCCCCCTCAAATGGAAATAGGCCGACGTCTACTCCCATGGTCGTTCCGAGGAAATCATCGGAAAGGCCCTGACAAAGTACAACATCCCGCGCAACCGAGTGGTCATCCTGACCAAGTGCTATTTCGGGGTAGACGACGGAGGCAAGCAACCTCCTATCTCCGCCGCAGGCCGGAATGACGGCGACTGGGTCAACCGTGTTGGGCTGTCCCGGAAGCACATTTTCGATGCGGTGGATGCCAGCGTGAGCAGACTGGGCACCTACATCGACGTATTGCAGATCCACCGTCTAGACCGCGACACGCCCCGTGAGGAGATCATGAGGGCGCTCAACGATGTGATTGAAAGCGGGAAGGTCAGATACATTGGGGCTAGTACTGTATGTTTTTTTTTTTTGTTTTTTTTTTAAAAAAAAAAAAAAATATTGTTTCTTTTGACTCATTGAAATTTCATTACGCTATGCTAACTGCCCCAGATGGCCGCGTGGGAGTTTCAAACGCTCCAAAACATCGCGGAACGGAACGGATGGCACAAGTTTATCTCCATGCAGAACTATCATAACCTCTTGGCTCGGGAGGAGGAGCGCGAGATGATCCCTTACTGTGTTGACTCTGGGGTGGGTCTGATCCCTTGGTCTCCTATGGCGCGTGGTGTACTGGCACGGCCGTGGAATTCTCGTTCGACGACCCGTGAGTCCACCGATGCGGCGCTCAAACTCCTTGTCCGGAGCCGAGAGTCCGAGGCCGACAAGGCGATCGTCGACCGAGTGGAGGAGCTTGCCACGAAGAAGGGTGTCAGCATGGCGCAGGTGTCCATTGCTTGGTCCTTGAGTCACCCTAATGAAAATCCCATCCTGGGTTTGAACAGCAAGGAGCGCATTGATGAAGCTGTTGCTAGTATCCAGGTCAAGTTGACCGATGAGGAGATGAAGTATCTGGAGGAACCCTATATTCCTAAGGCTTTGTCTGCTCTTGAGCGGTAAACTAGAAAAACAACGAAACAACATGTGCAGGGTATATTTGTTCATAATTCATTATTGGAATGTATCTTTTAGGCCAATGATAAACCCAGCTACATCAATGTGTGCGTTATAGAGCGTGAGAATCCGATACTCCTAGGTACATGCAATCCGGAGCCAAAAGGATATTTTCATATAAAACCCTATATCTCAAGTGTATTTACCTCTGGTTGTTGATCTTTCTATATACAAATCCTGATTGGGTCGAAAACGAAGGGCACAATCGCTCTGGATCGTCGAGGATCACAGCGCTGCGGAGAGGTGAGAGTGCTGTGTAAAGACAGAAACCACGGAGACCGTATGCAAATTGATTTGAGCTTTTCCCAAAATCCCTTCATAGCACCTGGCCACCGGGGATGAAAATATGTTCAAAAGGGAGCCCAAAACGGGACTCTATCTTCACCTCTACTAGAGGGAGCGTAGAATTGAATTAGGTGTCATGTAACCGGATGAGACCTGATCCACCAGCCATCGTAGAAACACCGGGCTTCATTAGTGGTGCTTTCGAGTCAGGAAGTCAAAAATATTGCTCAGCCGGCGTCGACATTTCCTCGTGGAGCTGCTTCGGCCCAGCTGTTTAGCCTTTAGATCGGACGGCTCAAGCTGGTGTAGTTGATAACTATCATTACCTCGTGAGCTATCCAATGGCGGATCTGGGGCTGTAGACTGTGTTGTGGGACTTCCATTACTTTGTTCCACTGGGCTGGTTCCATTCTGGTCCAGTTGTTCGCGGGGACTTGAACGCAAACTATGTCTTTTAGGTCGGCCAACGGTTCCAGAAGCACGTCGGTTGGTTCGCTCCATGAAAGCGGCGCCCGTTGAATTCGAGCGCTTAGTCAGACTACCATATGCTATGGACCGGTCTGGCGGCGCGTTTGGTTGGGAGGATGAGCCATTTGGCACCGATGTACGATTCCTCGAGCCATTTGATACCAGCCTTTCCGAACGATTATCCCTTCCAGCGGGTATCGAATCATTCTCGGTTCTAACTGCAGATGGAGATGGCTGTCGAGACGGGGAAAGCGCTGCGTTGAAAGTCACGGCTGAATCGTCATAAGTGAAATTATGCGACCAGCCTTCTCTAAATGCCACCCAAATACTGGTGATGATGATCAACATCCGGATATTATCGTCCGTCTCAATGACCTTCTTGTCCAAGGAGACGTCCATTTCAGAATCATCGCTGATCACAGACATCGTAGACGTTGGCGACAGAGGAAGTCCGGATGCCGTGGGCAACGCGTACTCATCAAATATTTCCAGGTGATTACGAGCCATAGTCGCGATGACGGGGTGACGACGGGTGTTGGGGTTGATGACGCTGAAAGTAAATCGTTTCGTGTCCTCCTGGGGCGCGGTTCCAGGGGGTGCAGAGATGCGGCGATTCCGTGCTCCGCGAAGTACCCATCGCAGGATCTGAATACCATTTTCGGTGTTGGCCACAAACTCGTAGGATCCATTGGGAAGGGGTGTCGCTTCCCACACCGGGCCGTAATTGAGACAAATTTCCGCCTTCCCTTTCGACAACGCATCCTCCTTGAGAAGTTGGCAAATTGTTGCGACGACATCAC